CTCGTTGACTTTTCAGGCTCATACTTTGCTTCGAGCACCAAGTGAAGGTTCAATGTTTAAAGAAATCAAAGTTCAATCAAGATGTACTTTCAGCTAAGCTAAGCCATGCGATGATCTCTTAGCACCATCAACACTGTGCTGTTAACCATAGCAACAGGTGTCATATAGGGGAAATCGGCAATCAATCAATGTTTGCTCCCACTTGACAGCAGGGGAGACCAGCACTGAGACTGGCCGCTTATCACCGAGGTAATTGCCGCTTAATGATGGTGGTGGTGGCCAATACAATTGATGGAGACTGGTGAGCACGAGGAGAAGAATGATAATAATCGACAGTGGAGACTGTTCTGGTGGTGGTGATGGTGGTGGTCGTCGAGGTCTTCTCAATAGGCTGCAGTCACCGCCACCATAGTCCACAGTGGTCCCTGTCTGGCAACCCACAACCTAAAATATGTCTAACCAAAACAACAACAACAACAGCACCGGCATTCATCACTACCAGCATCATCAGCATCAGCAGCAGGAGGAAGGCTTGCTCCACTCAAACCACTCCTCCTCCTCTTCAAAAAGCACCGACCAGCGAATAATAACGCTGAACGAGCACGAACACTACGAGAAGGTGAAACACCTCGGCGATGGCGCTTTTAGTACCGTCTCCCTCTACCGAAAGGTGAACCGCCGCAGCGGCGAGTCGAAGCTGGTCGCCTTGAAGCGGCTGAACATCGAGTCGGCTGCGGCCGGCGAGCCGTCGAGTCGGAAGCAGCTGGAGCAGGCGGTCAACGAGGTGCGCATCCTCGCCATTCTCTCCCACGAGAACATCATCACCTACTACGGCAGCTTCACCCTGGGCAGTCGCGCCTTCTACATCGAAACGGAGTACGCTGACGGAGGGACGCTGGCCGACTTCCTCGCCTCGCTGCCGGCGCCGCTGGAGGAGCTGGAGATACTGGCGCTCTTCGTGCAGATGGTCGCCGCCGTGCGCTACCTCCACCGGCGGAACATCATCCACCGGGACATCAAAACGGGAAATGTCTTCCTCAACACCCGTGGCTTCATCAAGCTAGGCGACTTTGGCATCAGCAAGCTGCTCCACTCGCAGCTCGATGCGCGTTCATTTGTCGGCACGCCCGCCTACATCTGTCCGGAGATTGTGAGTGCCGTTTACTTTTTGTGTTATTGCATATTTTTTACTGGTACTCTCTTCAGTTTGAAGGCAAAGCGTACAACAAACCCTGTGACATTTGGGCACTAGGCTGCGTCCTCTACGAGATGGCCACGCTTACCAAGACCTTTGACGCAAAGAATCTCTCCTCGCTGATGGCCAAGATTGTCAAGGTAGCCTGGTTCTATCTTATTGTTCCATCATCATCTTTTTATTTTCATTAGGCCACCTACCACCCGGTGAACAGCCGCTACTCAAAGGGCTTCCAAAAGCTGGTGGGCAGTTGTTTGCAACGCAGTCCATCGAAGCGAGCCAACATTGAACAGGTGCTGGAGCGCGTCCAGCTGATGATACACAAGCTGACGCCACTGGAGGCGACCACGACGCTGATGGCCAACAGTGCTATTCAGGAGAACATTGGCGCCGCCAGTGAGTCGCTGAAGGAGTACATCAGAAAGAAAAGGTGAGTTTTGCGAGTTACTCTTCTAAACTTTAAAAATTAACCGCTTTATCACCTAACCAGCGTCAGCAACACCGTTCGCTGCTCAAATCTGTACCACCTGGACATCCACTCTCCGAACCTCCACCTAACACCAATCCTTTTTCCGCATAATCTTCTGCCAGCTCACAGCCATCAACGTCTTCAGCTGAAGCAGCTAGTGAAGGGCGCCACGCACTACCTCGCCCTCACTGTGGACAGTCGCGTCTACGCCTGGGGCGTCGGCCTCACCGGTGAGCTCGGTTTGGGCCCCTCGCTGACCGCGGTAGACCGCCCAACGCTAGTCGAAGCCCTCCGTCCGTACACCATTCTTAAAATCGCCGCCGGCGACCACTTCAGCGTCTTCGTCACCAAGAATGGCCTCGTTCTGACGTGCGGCAGCGCCCGAAGTGGCTGTCTCGCCCAGTCGACGCCCTCCCAACAGCAGCATCATCATCATCATCATCATCAGTCAAAGCAACCAGTGGACCTCTTTGAGCCGAAGCTAGTCAGCTGTCTGCTGGAGAAGAGCATCTTCGACGTGAGCTGTGGTCGGAATCACGTGGTAGTGGTCGCCTCAGACGGCGTCGCCTTCGCCTGGGGCGGCAATGAGTACGGAAAGTTGGGCATTGGCAGGGAAAGCTACGTGGTCCCCTTTCAGACCGAGCCGACGCCCGTCGCCGCGCCGGAGGGCGTCAAGTACAAGCGAGCCTTTGCGGGCGCTGACGCCACTGCTCTGCTCGACTACCTCGACGCCGTCTGGCTGGCGGGCAATAACCGCCTGAACAAGCTGGCGCTCAACCGAGCTGGCCACCTCTTTGGCGGCGCCGTCTGTGTGCTCTTCGCGGCGACGCCCCAGCGAGCCCGTCTGCCAGGCAGCGCCAAGACGCCCGTCCTCTCGGTGGCCTTTGGTCGCGCCCACACCATCTTCTACCTCGGTGGTGACAGTGGTGGAAAGGTGGTCACCGCTGGTGGCAATGAGAGTGGCCAGCTAGGACTTGGCCATGGAAAGGCGGTCTCCTCGGCGGTCTGGGCGCAAACGCCACGACACCAGGTGGTGACGGGCACAGCGGCTGGATCTGATTTTTCCCTCGCCCTAACCAAAAGCAGACTGTTCTTCTGGGGAAGGCGTAGTGTAAAGAGAAGAAGGAGAAAACGGAGGAAAACAAGGCGGAGAAGGGGGTCAAGCTCGGTGACGACAACCGATGAGAGCAGCTGTAGTTCTAGCAAAACTGAAGATCAGTCAACCGAGGATGAGGGCGAAAATGTTGATGATGAATATGACGAGGATGATGATGAGGGTGATAGCAGCTCTCCTCACGTACAGTTCATCATCGGTCGGTGTAACCAGTCGCTGATGGAGCTCGTCACCGAACACGGCCCCGACTGTCCCATTGTGAAGGTGGCCGAGCCGAGATTGGTGGTCAACAAACTGAGCGGCCTGAGTGAGGTGCTCAAGGATCATCATTACCCCATTTACCATCATCAGCAGCACCGACTCTCAATTGGTGACGAAGAACACAGAATGAATTCTTCATTCAGCCGAGTCATTCTCACGCCTCAGCCAATCCTCGAGCTGTTCTGCGCCCGGACGCTGCAAACAGGCGAGCTGAGCTTCTCTGATGTATTCTGCTTCAACGATGAGGATGGTGATGATAATAGTGGTGGTGGTGACAGCATCTTTGTGGTCATCGAATCAGTGGTCAGCACCAGCAGCAGCAACAGCAGCAGCAACAGCAGCAGCAGTCCACCGCCCAGCATTCAGATATCCACCAAAGAAAGTGAAGCTCAAAGACGGACCTCAAAGAGCAGCACTACAAACAACACTTTGACAGTGTCCAATTTTCCGACTCGGTCGGAAACGAAATTCGTAAGACCAGAGCTTTATTTAGCGATTCCGAGTTCAACGTATCTTTGTTTCCCCATTGCAGAGCTACGCTTGGGTCAATGAGGAAGAGTAGCTGATACACATTAAGTAATGGACATGCTTCGAATGATGGCGGCGCCCACGTCCAGCAGCTGAATAAACTCATCACCGCCGTCGAGCAGATTCTTGTCGTTCTGCGCTATTTGCAGGCAAATAGCCGACTTTTGGCGGTCAGAGAGCAGCAACTCATCGGCCCTGGCGACAAACTCCTGCAACTGCTCGAGCAGCTGGGTGCCAGAGTAGCCCAACTTCACCAGCTCGTCCACTTTGGCGACCATCTTATCATAGGACTTTGTGCGACAGACATTAAAGAAGGCCTCAATGTGCTTTGCCGGCACGTAGCCAGAGATCTCACAGATCGTTTCGCTGGAGATCTCCTCCTCGACGTCGGTCACCAGCGTGGCCGTCTGCAGGAGGGTGATGGAGCGACGAAGGTCACCCTCGGAGATTTCAATGAGACTCTTCAGCCCGTCAGGTGATATTTTGTAGCCCTCCTTCTCGCAGACTGACAGCAGCGTCTGCTTCACAGAGTCCGCCTGCAGTGGCTTGAAGCGAAAGACGGTGCACCGAGAGACAATCGGGTCGATGATCTTTGAGGCGTAGTTGCAGATGAGACAGAATCGAGTGGTGTTGCAGTGCTTCTCCATGGTTCGCCGCAGCGCCGACTGCGCATCGCGAGTCATTGAATCGCACTCATCGAGGACGACAATCTTGATCGCCGGAATGCTTCGGTCCTGTGAGATGGCCTGCTGTGCAAAGGTTTTCACCTTCTCACTGTGAACGTAAAGAGCGTTTTTAGAAGGTGCTGAGCAACAAGGTTAATTTGTTAGTGTCACTCACCGAACTACCTGAATGCCTCGCTCATCGGAGGCATTGAGCTCCAGGACTCGGGCACTGTAGTGAGCGCCAAACATCTGCTTTGCGAGGGCAATGATAGTGGACGTCTTCCCCGTTCCCGGTGGGCCGTAGAAGAGCAGATTCGGCAGATTGGTGGCATTCTCCTCGACGATGCCCTTCAGCGTGTTCACTACCTCGTGCTGGAAGACGACCTCATCCAGCTTCGACGGCCGGTACTTTTCCACCCACGTTTTCAGGTGCTCGTCTTTGTTCGTCTTCTTGCTGTTCGCCTTGCTCTTGACATCATTCAGGCTCACCTCCATCTCGTCCAGGAGATCATCATCGTCGACTTCCATTGTTGACTTGAGTGTGACAGGAGCTTGAAGAGGGGAGGACACGGGTGCGAAATGACAGGCAAACCCAGAACCGGCAAAGTGGCGGGAAATGCGGCAGAAGCAGAACAGTAAACAACACAGTGTGATGATTGCTCGACAAGTCGTCGAAATGACAAGTACCCGAAACTAAATTAAGCCCTGTTCATGACAACAGCACGAAACATCAGAAGCACGGATCAGGATTCTGAATTTCATAAACCTTTGGGCTAGGTGAGTGTTCCTTTTGTCTATGTCAACATTTTTAATAACATCTCTTTTTACAGATTTGATGTTGCTATTTAGGGGGGGGGAAGATGAATATTCTCTTTCTTCCTGATGATTGCCTTCTTGCAGTCACCTCACTTTTGCCCATCCTTGATCGTGTCCGACTTCGATCAACGTGCCGTCGCCTTAATCAACTCCATCCAGTACCTCATGAACAGCAAAACTCACTGACTCTACTTCTAAGCTCTTTCCCAACTGCCGTACAAGCTTTGGCTCGAATCGGGAGATCGCAACTGTCTATTCCTTACTTTTATATGCTCACTTTCCCTGATGACAGTCCAGTTCACACCCATCAAAATCAAAATCATCTTCATTTGCCACAACTATCTAGAAAAGTGATACAGTCCCAATTTGGATCGCTACCTACAGTTCTTCCAAATATTTCAAATCTCGTTGTTTCAACTTTTTGCAATGATGTTGATTCAGTTGTGCATTTTACCTTTCTCCTTGAGTCTTGGTCTCATCACTTAAGATGCCTTAAACTTCATCTAAGCAGTTTTTCTTTTGTTGGCGATTACTTTCCAAATCTCATTCATTCAATCAATTCACTTCAATCACTTCGTCACTTGACCATTGATATTACCTTTGCTCCTCCAAATCAAGTGAACATGGGACCAATTTTAGGCCAACTAGAAAAATTTTACTTTACTTGCTCTGGTGCAACTGATTTTCTGTTGAAAAACACTCTTCATCAGTTTGGCGAGCCAAGCCATCGTCTGAAATCAATCGGTTTAGCATCTAGTCAGGAACAAACTGAGTTTAACATCATCACCGAGCACTACCTTAAATTAGACCCATTGTTTGCGTCTAAATTTACACAATTTTACTTTCCTAATCCGAGCTTAGAGCAGTTGACTCAATTTTGTTCACTTTTTAGATTTTTGAGATTTCTGCGAATCCAAGTTATACTATACCCTCATTCCCTTTGCTCAATTGTTAGCAGTTTATCAAATCTTCACCAACTAACTTATCTCGACCTTCACTTGAAGTTCACCGATAAATGCGATCCAAATCATTTGCCTCAATCTGATTCTATTCCGTCCTACTCATTTGTTTCCCTTCCTTCTCTTCTCAATCTAACGCTCACATTTTCATTCCATTTTTCTCATACCCCAGAAACAATTTCTCATTGTAGCTTTACTTCCCGTCATTTCGGACACATTTTTGAGAATTTGCAAATTCTCACTCTAAACTATGATTATTTCCACTGTTCAATATGTCAAGTAAGACATTCATGGGTTTGGATCAATTGGTCTTGTATTGAAAAAGTTCTTCAACCTTGGGCTGATCAATGCTTGAGACTGAAAAGGATATATTCAGAAGGAAAAGTTAAAGGAAAACTGTACGAATGGACTGTTAGACCGTTAGAAAGATTAACTTAAACTAATTTGTCAACATTATTTGTTCTTAATTAAAAAATAAACTTGCAATTTTACTTTTTTGATCCGACATAATTTTACTAAAAGACATCTATTTTTGTACTTAAATTGTAGATTAGATGCCAATAGGTTTTGAAGTGGATTGCCAATTAGTAATACGTTGTTGCAAAAACAGATGACAATCATTTGGCAGCTGGACTTTGTTATGCATGCACTGTGCTAGCAGAACCCAATTGTAAAATAACTATATCAGAAGGTACAAATCAAATGCATGTGAAAATACTGTCACTTTATCGTTGATAGTCTTGATTTGTCTGAGAGACAGTGACGGATTTTAATGCAAATGAGAAAAAACAAAATTCCTTTCCGGTTAACGTTATAAAAAGGAAAGAGTTATAGCTTGGTTAGTTGTTCTGTTAACCGTTGTAAAAATGTTTCAATTACTTTTTGCCACTTGTGTGATTTTGTGTTTTATCGTTCCCGACAGCTCTAGTTATACTCATGATATCACCCATAATTTGCCAAGTGTGTCTGCTCGTCACCCTAAATGCGGTTTGAATCTAAGCAAACTAAGCGCAGCAACTTGTTTTATTAAATTTTACGATAAACTAAATGGCAAAAATTTTGATCCGAAAAATGAAGGCCATTGTTGCGCTGATTGGGAAGCTCTTGCTTGTGTGAAAAAAATTTCAGAAAATGATCCTGAGTGTACAAAAAATGTATCAATGAAGTTTGAGATAAACGAAAAATTTGAAGAAAAAGAAGAGAATAATGTGAAAAACATTTGTGATCCGTATAAAATCAATTGTCCCAGTGCCCCAAAACATGATCTTGAAGCAAAGTTTCCTCAATGTTTTGCCAAGGTAAAGATTGAGTTGGATCGATGCAAGCCAATTTCAATGGATTTTAGGTGAGTTTTTGTCAATTTACTAATTAAATTATAATGAAAAACTTCAATTTTTATAGCAATGCTGCAAATAATAAACTCCAATGCTGCAACTTCTGGTCAATGATTACTTGCGAAAAGAATGTCATTTTGGCAGAGCCTGCTTGCAAAGATGCCCAAAAATTTGCTAACCAAACATTTATTACAAGAAAACAATCGGCAATCGACAAAGTTTGTAACCCTTACATTTTTGCATGCAAAGATGCGCCTGACTTGGAATCAAAGTATCCTGAATGTTTTAAAAAGATGGAACTACGTCAAAAAGAGTGTCAACCAGACAACTTTGATTTTCGAAATGCAAATCATGATGCTAAACAGTGTTGCAGTTATTGGGCAATGGCGGAGTGCACGAGGCAGAAGGCTCGTACAGAGGTTGCTTGCAAGGCAGTCCTGGGATATATCGACTACGTGTGGAGTTCACAAAACAAAATCTTGGTTAAGCAGTACTGTAATCCAAATTGGTTCAAATGTGCTTCAAGTAATCCGGATCAAAACGATCCTAACGCTCCTCTAAGGAAAAAGTATCCTGAGTGCTTTGAAAAAATTGATCAAGCTCAGAAAACTTGCGAATCAAAAAAGAACAAAGACTACTCAAATGCATTTAACAATAAGGAGCAGTGTTGTGGTTACTGGGCAATGGTAGGATGTACGAGAGCTCTGGCAGTTATGGATAATTCTTGCAAACCATTGAACAGTTTTATTAACAAATGGTTTAATACAACAAATATTTATCTTATTGAAAAATCATGTCCCCCAAATAAATTTAAATGTGGGAAAAATGGCGCAATGTCTCTAATTATGAAAAATACAGTTATTTTAGTTATTTTTTGTATTTTTGCTCACTGGGTGACTTATTTACCTTGAGAATAAAAATCATTATCAGAATTGCTAATAGTTTTTATCAAACATTTGCATATACTCGATTATAAAAAGCAGTTAATAGGTTTTTTGGGTAAAACACTTAAACAACTCTAAACATATGGTTTTAGTAAACGGAACCAGTGTGTATTTGCTAAAATAAAAATTTTGTATTCTTTTTACCTATTTTCCATTTTTTGATATCACTATTAAACTTTTTGAAATTCAATATGATCAAATACATTTGTTTTCTAGCAATATTCTACTTATATTGCAGTCCCATCAGTACTTTTGAGTTTAATGAGACAATTTTGGAAGAGTTTAAGCGAGAATATCCAGAATGTTGGTCTCGTCTCGTT